GAGGCGGAGGACGAGGAGAGTCTTACCTCGCGGCTGCGCTTCGCCCTGCCGCTGGTCCGGCCCGCCTCGCTTCTTTGCTGCCTCCCCTCGAACTGGCCGCCGCCGCCGCTGGCCGCTGCGGGCCGCTGCTCCCAGACCCCCTCGCGTCTGGAAAAGATTGCGATGGAAGATATTTCCCAACCATCCTGTGGTGTTGGGTCCTCGTTTTGAAGAGACAACGCCCCGCGTCTCCTATCCTCTCCTCTCCTCTCCTCCTCCTTCTCCTCCCCCTCCTCCCGCTCCTCCCTCCTCCCCCTCCTTGCCTCTGCCCTCCGCATGTTTCTGTTTCGGCATACCCAGTACAGCGTGTCGTGGCCCCACAGGGAGCCCCACCGAAGGCTCCAGTGGCAGGGTCCGCATGGAGCCGCCGCTCCATGTCGGCACACCCCTCACACGGTTCGTGGCCCCACAGGGAGCCCCACCGAAGGCTCCAGTGGCAGGGTCCGCATGGCGCCGCCGCACCATGTCGGCACACCCCTCACACGGTTCGTGGCCCCACAGGGAGCCCCACCGAAGGCTCCAGTGGCAGGGTCCGCATGGCGCCGCCGCTCCATGTCGGCACACCCCTCACACGGTTCGTGGCCCCACAGGGAGCCCCACCGAAGGCTCCAGTGGCAGGGTCCGCATGGCGCCGCCGCACCATGTCGGCACACCCCTCACACGGTTCGTGGCCCCACAGGGAGCCCCACCGAAGGCTCCAGTGGCAGGGTCCGCATGCGCCGCCGCCCCATCACTGGATATGGTTGGGTCCTTCGCCAGGCCAGTTCTTGATTTTCTGCCTCTGGGGGCCTCGCCCTGCCCTGGGACCCTCGAACAACCACCCAGGATGAAACACCGGTTTCGGGCAAGCGGGGCCTCCAGGGAGGAGGAGGAGGAGGAGGCGGAGGAGGGGAGGAGGATGAGGAGAGAGGATGATGTGATGATGAGGAGGAGGAGGAGGAGGAGGAGGAGGAGGAGGAGGAGGGGGAGGGGAGGAGGGAGGAGGAGGAGGAGGAGGAGGAGGAGGAGGAGGAGGAGGATGAGGGGGCGACGTCGTAAAAAACATGACGTCGGGGGCCTGGGATCCGAGGAGAGCACGCCGCGGTGGACTGCCGCTCCGTCCGCCGGGGGGAGGGGAACGCCCGGACCCCGTCGCGTCGTGAAAAACACGACATCCGAGTTTTTTTGTTGAGCTCTCCATTGTGGAGAACATTCATGTCTGAATAAAACAGACCGACCCTGCGCCTCATTACAGGGGGGTGGCGCATTCCGTTTGCACTGATTGGCGCTGCTGCGATTGACCGTTCAGCTGGGCATAGTTGGCGGGCGCGTTTGAGTTGCTGTGTGGGGGAAGAAAGAGAGAAAAAAATGATGAAGAACATTCATGTCTTATCCCCCCCACCACAGGCACGCCTGTATCTTTCCAATCGAAGTTCACCCCCTTTCGGCTCTCGCGTTCTCTCCCCGCATCAGGGGAAGTCCTCCTGCTGAGACCACGTTCTTGGGCCCCAGGCTACAACAACAACAACAACCGCCTCTGGGAGGAGGGGAATGCTCGGTAGCAAGTCATGTGCGCCTTGTCTGTCTCGCAGTTCCGTCGTTGGAGTGCACTTGCGTGCGCTAGCGTCTGGTAGTCGATGGGTAAGCGCACATATGTAGTGCCGATCCGGCGCAGACTCAGCGCCGACTTGGCCCCGATGAGCGCCGATCAGCGTTGATTCGCGCCGATCCGCGTCGGTCAGCGTCGATTCGCGTCGAAACTCTCGTGAGATGCCACCGCAAGAAGGCCCAGACCCCCTCGGGAAGTGAGCGCCCCACGGCCCCCGCGGGAGCGCGCGGCCCTCCGCGCCGAGGTGCCCCTGGCGGCCGTCCCCCTCCTGCAGGCGAAGGACAAGGCCGACCGCTCGGCCCAGGCCCGCGGGCGCGCCCTCGACGCCGACGACGACGGCGCCGACGAAGACAGCGGAGGCGACCAAGACGGCGGCGACGGCGACGGCGACGGCGACGGCGACGACGACGGCGACGCTGACGGCGACGGCGATGGCGGCGGCGACGACGACGAGGACGACCACGACGACGGCGGCTCGGGGTTTGACCCAGGCTGGCCCAGGGGTAGTCGCCTTGGGGCGCAGCTGCGGCGCCAGCCTGGGCTGCTCTCGGCTTCCAGGGGAGGGGGGCCTCACCGTGCCTCGGGACTATCAAGAAACAACTCGGGATGAAACGCTGGTCCTTGGGAAGGGGTCCAGACCTTTGGGGGTCACGTCATGATCATGACGTCGGGGCTCTGGAATGATGCATGGCGGGGGGGGGAGGGTCTCAGTCCTGTGCGCGCCTGCGGAGGGTTATGGCTGTTATCATCATTCTCCCTCTTGCAGAAACAGCGAGGGAGATGTGATCCTCCTCCTCGTTCTTACTTGTTCCTCCTCCCTCCCTCCCTCCCTCCCTCCCTCCCTCCTTCCTCCCCTCTTGCATCCACAACTGGGTCCTACTCCTATCCTATCCTACTTCAACTCCCTCCCTCCCTCCCTCCCTCCCTCCTCCTCCCTCCCTCCTCCTCCTTCTCCTTCTCCTCCTCCTCCTCCTCCTCGTGTTTTCCCTCTCCCCTTCCTCCGCCTTTTCTCCTCCCCCTCCTCCTCCTCCTCCTCCTCCTCCTCCTCCTCCTCCTCCTCCTCCCCCATCATTATCCTTCCTCCGTGGCCATTTTGGCTCAAGCCGTTCCCGCTCGAGGCTCCAGGCTGTGGCTCGCTGCCTGGTCCTCCTCCTCCTCCTCTCCTCCTCCTCCTCCTCCTCTCCTCTTCCTCCTCCTTCCTCCTCCTCCTCCTCCTCCTCCTCCTCCTCCTCCCCCTCCTCCTCCTCCTCCTCCTTCTCCTCCTCCTCCTCCTCCTCCTCCTCCTCCTCCTCTCTCCTCCTCGCCTCCTCCTCCTCCTCCTCCTCCTCCTCCTCCTCCTCCTCCTCCTCCTCCTCCTCCTCCTCCCCCATCATTATCCTTCCTCCGTGGCCATTTTGGCTCAAGCCGTTCCCGCTCGAGGCTCCAGGCTGTGGCTCGCTGCCTGTCCGAAGCCGCCAGCCCGCGCACCGACAAGGCCCCCCCCGCCCCGAGCCAGGAAGCGGCCGCAGGCCCGAGAGAAGGGGCCTACGCCGGCTGCAGAGATGGCTGCCGACCTCTCCCACGACGCCAGCAAGTGGGAGGCCTTCCGGCTGGTGAAGGCGGACGACCTGGAGGGCCTCAGGCGGGCGCCGAGGCACCACCCGCGGGGGGCGTGGAGCGCGTGGCGCAACTTCGCGGGCAAGATCCTGTACCAGGTCGGCGAGAAGGAGAGTCTTGGCTCCGGCTCGGGCCGCTGCTTGGAGTTGCTGCGCGGGGAGCTACAGCAGGTGGACCTCGTTCCCCAGCGGGTCCCGAGGGTGGGCTACGTCGACGGGGTGGTGGAGCAGGAGAGTGCGTAGACAAGTTGCTGAAGGTGCCGGTGCAGGAGGTCCACTATCACAAGAAGTTGAATCACGACCCGCAGTTCCGCGAGGTGCCCGTGCCAGAGGTCCGCGAGGTGGATCGAATGACAGTGAAGGGGGAGCTTCACGTCGTGAACGCGCTGGTGGGGGTGCCGAATGACGTCATTCACACCACAATCAGGGAGATTCCAGATATCAAGCACATTACGGAGAGGAGGGAGGAGACGACATAGGAGCTCTTGCCCTTCAGTCCCACGCCGGTGGATCGGGTGACAGAGGTGCACACGGTCGACGTCCACCCGAGGGTGCAGTTTGTGCCGGGTGAAAAGAAGATTGAGCCGTCCGAGTACGAGGAAATCTCTGTGCTGTACGAGCTGTACGTGCCCCAAACCGAGGTGAATTACATCGACCAGGTGGCCGTCAGGCCGAAAGAGGTACTAGTGTCCAGCGTAGAAGAGTACGCTGTCAAAGTTCCAGTGTACGAGCAGAGGGAGGTTTCCGCCGTCCAGGAGGAAATCGAGGTCGCCCAGTACATCAAGCACGTGCCAGAGTTCCCTATGCGTACCGAGTGGGTGCCAAAGCGCCACGGTGATCTCTTCGCCCGTCGTCCGGCTGCAGCCGTGGCGTCTTCCTCTACTGCTGCTGGGGCCCGCAATGGTGCTTCTTCATCTTCTCGTGGGGCCCGCACTGGTGCTCCTTCTTCCTCCTCGTCTGGGGCCCGCAATGGTGCCCACCCGTCTGCTGCTTGTTCGTGATTGTCATCGCCGGGCCGCCGTCACGCCAGGCTTCCTCGCTGGGCGGCGCCCCCACCAAGGCGACGATGATGACGGGTGCCAACCACGACGGCGTCATCCACCGCGCCGAGTGGGGCGCTGGGCTCGCAGCGCTTGGTGGAGCGCAGCGCTTCAGAGCGCAGCGCGGCGGCGGAGCGAGCGCTGCGGTGGAGCGCAGCGCTTCGGACCCGAAGCACGAGATGTGGTGCGGGCTGTCCGCGCTGCGGCTCAGGAGCACGCGCCTCGGCAAGAGCAGCGCCTACCAGAGGAAGGCGCTCGAGCTGTGCCGGGCGCGGGCGCAGCGGCTCGGGGACAGCCTGGCATCCGAGAGGCGGCTCACGGCAGGAGGAGGGGCGCCGGCTCGAGGAGCGGGGGCGCAGCGGCTCCGGCAGGGTCGTCATGCACCTGAAGCTGCTGCCAGTGCGGACAAACAGCTGCGAGGAGGCGGATCGCAGTCTGACCCCCAACACCCCAACACCTCCACCATCTACAGGTCCATGGTCGACATGTTTTCCTCAATGTTCGATTCGCCACAGGCTCTCACGATCGGGGCCGACCCGTTGTTCGACCAGCTGGGCAGAAATCACGATGGAGTCCTTTCGCGCGAGAAGTTCTCCGCAGGGATGGGCCGCCGGTAGTAAGGATCTTGGGCCCGAGCATCTCCAGAGTAGATGTGCCGATCCGTTTTTTGCGCTGTCCCTCGAGGCTGGTGCCGTAAGCCAGGGCGCGGTGTTGTCGTAGCAGTTCTTGGGAGCCATGTGTGAGCTCGACCTTCTGTCTGTGAGGTGGATTAGTGCTCGATAGCGTTTGGTAATCGATGGGGGAGCGACGGTTTCGCGTCGGCTTGCGCCGAGGTGCGTTGATTCTTTGGCTTACGCCGCACCGCCGACCCCTTGGGACTCCTGGTAGGTCTCTCGGGGGCCTCCTGGCAGCACTTTGAGGCCTTTTGGGGGCCGTTTTGGGGCCGCTTTTGGGCCTCTGGTGGGCCTCTTGGAGCCTCTTGGGTTCTTCTTGGGGGCTTCTTGGGGCCTCCTGGAGGCTTCTTGGGGCCGAGGGCTTGCAATTTCCGTTCGGGTTCCCTGCCTGGGCCCCCTCCTGGAGCCGTCTTGGGCACCTCTTGGGCCGGTTTGGGGCCCTCTTGGGCCGTCTTGGAGCGTTCTTGGGGGCTTCCTGGGCCGTCATGGGGCGATCTTGGAGGGCTCTTGGGCCGCCTTGGACGTTGTGAAAGCCCAAGTGGCGAATGTGCTAAAATCATACGTTTCCTGAAGGGGATGGGGCGATTTTTGCCTCTGGGGGCCCTCTTGGGACGCCTCTTGGGGGCCTCTTTGGGCGTCTCGGAGGCCTCTTGGGCAGTCTGGGGGCCATCTTGTGCGTCTTGGAACGATCCATCGTCGACTCGGGGCCCTCCTGGACTATTTTGTGGGCCTCTTGGGGCCCTCATGGTCCGTCGTGAGGCCCGTGGTGCGTTCACCCGGGGCCCCCCCCCTCCAAAACGACAGGATTGGGCCCCGGGGGGAGGGGTTAGGGGAGGGGGAAGCATCTTCGGTGGCGATATCCGATCCGTTTCCGATCCGATCCGATTTCACGATTCGATTCATCTCGGGCTTGTCAGGCCCAGCAACAATCTCGATCCGTGGAGCGCTCTGGAACGGCCGCGGCGCTCGGGTTTTGACAGGGCACTTTTCACTTGCGCTTGGGGTGACGGGGGGTTCCGGATCCCCCCCGTGGCGCAAGGGGGGAGCTGATTCGAATTTCCCCCCCATTCGCCGCCAGCAAGCATTTCCGATGCCGACGCCGACGCTGACGCCAACGTCGACGCGACCCCGACGCCGACGAAGACGCCGAGAACGACGACGAGGACGGCGACGACGACGACGGTGCCGACGACGACGATCACGACCACGACCACGACGACGATCACGACCACGACCACGACGACGACCACGACCACGACCAAGACCTCGATCTCGACGATCATGGCCACGACGCTGATGCCGACGCCGACGACCACGCCGAGGACGCCGACGACGGCGACGGCGATGACGACCACGACAGTGACCACGATGACGACCATGACCACGACCATGACCTCGACCATGATGACGACGACGACGCCAATGCCGACGCCGACGCCGACGACGACGCCGAGGACGACGACGACTACGACGACGCGGACGACGACGACTACGACGACGACAATGACGACGACGACGGCGACCATACGACCACGACCACGCGCACGACCTCGACAATGATGACGACGATGATTAACACGACGACGACGATGACGACCACGACGACGACCACGACCACGATCTCGACCTCGACCATGATGACGACGGTGATGACGACGACGACGACGCCGACGCCGACGACGACGACCCCGAGGACGACGACGAGGCCGAGGACGAGGACGAGGACGAGGATGACGACGACGCTGACGCCAACGTCGACGCCGACGAAGACGCCGAGAACGACGACGACGACAGTGACGACGACGACGACGATCATGACCACGACCACGAAGAGGACGACCACGGCCACGACCACGACCACGACCTCGACCTCGACGATCATGACGACGCTGATGCCGACGCCGACGACCACGCCGAGGACGATGACGACGGCGACGGCGACGACGACCACGACAACGACCATGATGACGACCACGATCACGACCAAGACCTCGACCATGATGGCGACAACGACGACGCCGACGCCGACGCCGACGCTGCCGACGACGACGACGAGGACGACGACGACTACGACGACGAGGACGACGACGACTACGACGACGATGACGACGACGATGGCGACCACGATTTCGACCACGACCACGAGCACCACCTCGACAATGATGACGATGATGAACACGACGACGAAGACGACGACGGTGACGACGACGACCACGGCCACGACCTCGACCTTGACCTCGACCTCGACCATGATGACGACGGTGACGACGACGACGCCGACGCCGACGCCGACGGCGACCCGAGGACGACGACGAGGACGACGACGTCGACGATGACGACGATAACAACGACGACCACGACCGCGTCATGGAGCCTTCCAAAAACGGCCATACACGTCTGTTGACAAGGTTCGGTGGCTGGGGTACCATGATAAGGCATGCGCAGATATGCCAGGGTGGCTGCCAATGGCGGCGGGCATGCCCGTGGTTCTGACGGATCATTTGGATCGGGGTGAGAAGCAGCTGCTCCGCGGGTGCCACGCGACGATTCACTCGTGGGTCGTCGATGAGGATGAGGATGCCGTCGCGGACGCGGCGGAAGTCACGCTTCGAAGGATGCCGAGGCAGATCGTGCTCGACTTTCACACGGACGCGTGGACGCTGAAGAGCATGCCAGGGCCTGGTTTGTATCAGATTATGCCCAAACAACGGGTCTGGTTCTTGGACGCGTATCGTAAGAAGCCTGTGTTGGGAGTTCGGCGGACACAGTTTCTGATATCGCCGGGCCTGGCAAGCACGGCTCACGCGGCCCAGGGCCGATCCTTGGACGCTGTCATCGCAGATTTGCAGGAGGGTCGAAATGTGAGTTGGATGTCGAGTTACGTGGCAATCACCCGCGTGAAAACTCGTGGCGGTTTGCTCATATATCGCCCGTTTGAGTTGAAGCCGTATACCCAAGGCGAGATGGAAGGGACGAAACATCTGCTAGGCAAGTTGCGCGGGGAGGAGGTGCCGTGGGCGGAAATAGAGACGAAGTTGATGCCCCGTAAGACGTGCAGTAGATGTAGCGCCGTGAAGGAGAAATCGGATTTCACGCCCACAGAGTTCAAGGAAAAGGACGTGCCGAGTTTTTGTCGCGAGTGCGCGGGTGAATTAAAGGAGGCGGGCGACAAGTGGTGCGCCGAATGCAAGACGTGGGCCGCGTTGGGGCCGAGGACGCCGGAGGGCGAGGCTCGTGGGGGGCGAGTGTACGTGCGGACAAGCAGGTGCGAGAGATGCGCGGGGCCCGCGACGGCACGAAAGTCACGGGAGGAGTCGGAGGCGTGGAAGGAGAAGGTTCAGGAGAAGTTCAAGATTCGCTGCGCGAAGTATAAGAATTTCTTGAAGACGGAGGCGGAAGTGGCGGCGAACCAGTGCGATTCGAAAGACGCGGGGGAGAGGTTTTGCAGAGCGTGCGCCCGCAAAGAGAAGGGTGGGCGGAACGAGAAGGGTGGGCGGAACGAGAAGGCGGATGCAGAGAAGCGCAAGCGAAAAGCAGAGGCGGGCGCGAAGCCACTGACGTGCGCGGCGTGCAGAGGAGCGTTCTCGGACACGAAACACTTGAAACAGAAGCAAGTGACAGATCATCGACAGGCAAAAGGAGCCAAAGTGGTGTGCGGAGCCTGTAAGACACTCGGGTTCTCAGCGCGCAGTTGCCAGGCGTGTCAGTGTAGCGGCCCGTGCAAGAAAAGACTGCCGAAGTCGGCGTTCTCCGTGAACCCTACCAATGTCGCGCGCGACGAAAAGAAGGGCACCCTGAAGTGCAAAACATGCAAATGATGACCAATCGGGCGCGCGTGCTGGGGAGGAAAAGGAGGACGGGGAGAGAAGCATGGGGGGTGAGGCGGGGGATTGGGGGGGACAAGAATCGAAGAGGATGAGGATGAGGTGGGGGGGGGGGAGAGGAGGAGGGGGACGAGGAGGAGGTGGAGGAGGAGGAGGGCGAGGAGGAGGAGGAGGAGGAGGAGGAGGACGAGGGGGACACAGAGAGGAGGCTCTGGGCTATGGGTTATGGGTTAGAGGCTTCTTGTATGTGTATCGGGATCTCGCGGCACGCCTCTCGGGGGCCTCTCGAAGGCAGTTTTGAAACCACTTGGGGGCCGATGTGGAGGAGGAAGGGGGGCGAGGAGGAGGGGGGCAGAGAGGAGGCTATGGGTCATGGTTCTGGGTTAGAGGCTTCTTGCATGTGTGTCGGGATCTCGCGCCACGCCTCTCGGGGGCCTCTGGAAGGCAGTTTTGAAGCCACTTGGGAGACGTTTCGGAGCTTCTGGGGGTCTTTTTGGGGCCTCCTGGGGGCCTCTTGGGGGCTCCTTGGGGCGTCTTGGGGGCCTCTTGGGAGCCTCTGGCGGCCTCTTGGGGCATTATTGGGGCCCCCTGGGGCTCCTGGGGGTGGAAAGCTAGATGTTTTGAATTTTTGGTCGCCCTCTGGGGCCCCTCTTGGTGCCGTCTTGGAGCCCTCTTGGGCCGTCTTGGGGACCTCTTGGGCCGTCTTGGGGTTATTTTGGGCCGTCTTGGGGCCGTCTCGGGGGCCTCCTGGGCCGTCTTGGGCCTGTCATCGGGGCCTCTTGGGCCGTCTTGGAACGTCGGGGAGCCGAAAAGGCGAAAAGGCAACAAACACCGACAAACACGATGGAACATCAACAATTTTAGCCTCTCGGGGCCCTCTTGGGAGGTTTGTTTGGGACCTCTGGGGCCGTCTTGGAGGCCTCTTGGCCCGTCTTGGGGCCATCTTGGGCGTCTTGGAGCGCTCGTTTAGCGTCCCGGGGCCCTCGTGGGCCGTCTTGGAACCCTCTTGGGGCCTTCTTGGCCCATCTTTAAGCCCTCTTGGGCCCGGAAGAGCCCGTGACGCGCTCGTCGGGGGCGCCCCCCCCCTTCCAAATCGACCGGACCAGGCTCCCGGGGGAGGGGTTTGGGGAGGGGGGGCATCTCACACGCCGATGATCCCCAATGGGTCGGCGGATTAGCGTTGGTCAGCTTCCATTCGCAAGAGCCAGCAATATGATCTGGAATGCTTCTTCGAGTTGCCACATAACTTTCCTTCCATCAGTTAGTCGTGCAGCGGGTCGTTTTTGTCCCCCCACGCCCGTGCACGGAGCCGCCGCCCCGTGCAGAGTTGTGGCCCCTACCCGAGGCCCCGCCTCCGAGCGAGCACTCTCGAGCGGAGGGGGAGCCGCTGCAGCTCCCCCCTCGTCATTCTCCTCCTTGCTCTTCTTGGCAGCACGAGGCAGCCCTCTTTCTTCTTGTACCTTTTTTTGCCTCCCCGGGTGTCGCCGCACTGCGGTTATTGCACTTGAAGCATGACTAAGCAGGAGTCAGAAGTCCGGGGGGCCGCCACTTTCCCGCCTGCTCCGTCGCCGCTGCCGTCGCTTCGGCCGACGACGACGACGACGCCGCCGCCGCCGCGGCCGCCGCCGCCGCCGCCGCCGCCGACGACGACGACGACGACGACGACGACGACGACGACGACGACGACGACGACGGAGGGGCCGCCGCCGCCGCCGGCGCGCCGCCGCCCCCGGCGCCCGCTGCGCGCCCTGCCTTCGGAGTGCGCCGGCCGGGCGCCTCGCAGTGGCCCTGGGCCAGGCCGACCTTGGGCTCGGGAGCGGTGCCTGCGCCTTCCTGGCTAGGCTTAAATCGGGCCCGTCCCCCTACATGGGGATTTTCGACGGAAAAAAAAGAACACCCCAAAAGTATTTTTAAAATAGTCCAACAATAGTCTGGGGACTTTTTTTTTTTTTTTTTTTTCCTCGTCGAGAATCCCTCTGTAGGGGGACAGGCCCGACTTAAGGCTAGGCTATGAGGGCGTGGTGTGACCGTGGACGCGGGATGGTCGCAGGGCCCCGCCGGCAAGTGGACGATTGCAAAAACGTCTCCGGTTCGTCGTCGTCGTCGTCGTCGCCGTCGTCGTCGCCGCCGTCGTCGCCGCCGCGGCCGTCGTCGTCGTCGTCGTCGTCGTCGTTGTCGTCGTCGTCGTCGTCGTCGTCGTCGCCGTCGAGGCCGCCAGGCCGCAGCCAGCGATCCACACGAGAAACGCATATTGTTTGTTAAATGTCCCTGCCTGATTTTTTGTTGAAAACACCAATCATTTTGGTTGCATTTTACACCGACGCTGGGCCCAGGATGGGCCTGTCCAGGATTGCTCTGGGTGTGCAGTTGGCCCAGGGTCCCCTGGGATCTGGGCGTTGCAGTTTGTTCAATACCAGGCGTTTTCGCCAGGTTCAGCGCCTGTGAACTATCACAGATCGATCGTGCTCGAAAAGTGCCGCAGACTAATGGTGTCTGGGGCTCTGGTCGTGATTGTTCGCGATGTTGTTGTTTTTTTTCGCAACGTTGGGTCTCAGGGTCGGTGCGTATGCCTTCCTGGCCAAGCCAGAAGGGCGCACGGCGGGTTCGTGTCGTAACGGCCCCGGCATTGGCTTCTGACACCCCGTGGATGGTGTAACCTTGAACGATCGGCGGGCTTCCGCTCGCCAGATCGTTCCATATTGGCCGATTGTGGGCCACTTGCGGCGTTCGACCCTGAACGCCCACCCACGTTGGGGTCCCAACCGCGTCGACACGACACGAACCTACCGTGCACACCGACACTGGGCCCAGGACGGACCCCGCCAGGATCGGTGTAGATGCGTAGTTGGCGTCCTCCTCTTCCCCGCCGCGCAGCTCCTCACCACGACGCTGCCGCCCGGCAGCCTGCCCTACTCGGAGCTGGGGTGGCCAGGGCCTCGGGGCCTCGGGCGCGCCGCGCGCGCCGTGTGCTCCTCAACGTCGTCGTCGTCGTCGTCGTCGCCGTTTCCGCCGCCGCCGCCGCCATCGTCGTCGTAGCCGCCGCCGCCGCCGCCATCGCCGTCGTAGCCGTCGCCGTCGCCCTCGTCCTCGTCCTCGTCCCGTGTTCTCGTCGGAGGCCTTTCCGAGGGGCTCTCGGGCCCCCCCGGTCGTCTTTTCCACCCGCCGCGCCTCGTGGGAAGTGCCTTTTCTGGGGAGCCCCAGGCTGTTCCGAACGGCGGATCGGGACCAACATGCGACCCGAAAGCCAAGCCAAGGGTCGTCGTCTTCGTCGTCGTCGTCGTCGTCGTCCTCCTCCTCCTCCTCCTCCTCCTCCTCCTCCTAGGGACGCGTGTTCCCACCGCCACTGCACATAAGACCGGGGTTTCGCATTGCAGGCAGGCTGCAATTTTGCGCCCCACGTCCCAGGCTGCTGAGTGCTGGACAAGACCAGGTGTTTTCTCTCCCCTTCGCTTCGTGTCCGCCTGCCCTCGTCTCTTTTCCCTTGCTCGCGCCGTGCCCGCTTGCCCTCCCCTCTTTAGTGAGTGTGATTCCTCCGTCTCGTCCTCTTCGGTCTCTTCCTCGTTTTCGTGCTC